AAGACTTTTCAAAATAACATATGAACCACTCCGCGCACAAGATTTAATACTTAGTGCATCAAATATATTTAACGATTATGTATCTCGTAACAAATTATCTATTTTATTTTGTTACCTTGATACACTTTGAAAGTGAACTTGGTCCAACTGAATGCTAGCTCGCGTGGAACTAATAAGGAGGCACTTTGGATAGTGGATTGAATATACGAGGTGAAACCTAAGAGGAGGAAGATTATTATGCAGCCAACCCTGCCACCAGGGTCTTCCCGACGCGCCGCCACAAGCCGGTGATGCGAGAAGGCAATTCTGAAAAACTGCTCTCGGATTTTCTGCACAGTCCGGCGAAAAAATTCGACATAAATCAACTGGTGATCGGATGGACGTCAAATTTTGACAGAAGCTTCAACCCTCATACATATAACAATCTTCCAAAAGGAATTGTCCATACACTAAATAACCATGGAGATATTGAAGTCGGAGCAATGCTGTAATTTCAGATCAGCAAACAGGTTGGATCAGTAGGAGTGGGAAGAGCAGCTAGCCATCTTCTCGAGTCTTCGTTCGATTCACGCTTCAAGGGTAAAATATCGTTTTCCCTAATTAATATACATGTATTAACTTATTTATATTAATTGAGATTAATGTATGTTAATTGATTATTGAATCACATGAATCTATATGTTCGATTATGTGTTTATGTGAATCGTTCATTGAGCATGTTTATTATTTGTTTTAATTTCGCGAGCATGCTATGATGATTTAATTTATGCTATTTAAATTAATTATATATGCGAGCATGTTTGTCGGTGATTGGAAGCGAAAAGGTACGCAATTAATTGTTATTTATTGTGAACGTGCTTGTTTATATAAACTAGTTTATATAAATAAAATAAGATTTTGGTTTTCCGCTGCGTACACGTGCCCGATCCCCAACAACTCTACCACCCCGGCAAAGCAAATGTGGTTGTCGACGCACTTAGCCGCAAATCGATCAACACTCTCCTAGTCCAACCTAACTTGCGCAATAACCTCGAATCCAATCCAAACTTCCAAATCTCTGAAGAAGGTCTCGTCCGATTCCAAAATCGCATTTACGTACCCGACGACCCAAATGTTCGCCGACTGATCTTAACCGAAGCTCACCAAACCACGTACACTTGCCACCCCGGAGAAACAAAGATGTACCAAGATCTCAAAAAGCTCTACTGGTGGCCGCCTGAAATGAAGAAAGACGTGACCAGATTCGTCGCCGAATGCCTAGTATGCCAACAAGTCAAAGCGGAACATCAAAGGCCCGGAGGTCTACTTCAATCAAACCTAATTCCGGAATGGAAATGGATAAAATCTTTTTGTCAG